GGTCAGGTCTCCAGGGGATTAGTGTTCCTGGTTGCTGAGCTGATGTGAATTTAAGGGAAAATAACACACCTGAGTGCTGGGGAGAAAGGCTTTGGCGGCGGCTCTTGCCCCTTGTTTTGCAGTGCTGCTGGTGTGGCCGAACAACCCCAGAGCACACATGCGGTGCTCAAAAAGCAGCATCCAGAGACGGCTTGACCCGATGCTGGTACCGGCTGGACCAGAAAGCTCCTGGACATCGTGCTGGGAGCCAGCCCATCTCCACTTGCCCCATCGCTGTCAGATGGGTGTCAGTCTTCAAGCCGCCCTGGAAGCTCCATCCAACCTGCCTCCACTTGAAAGCGAATCGGGAGCTTTGGGGGAGCTTGACTCCTTGCTTTGCTGCTATTTTTAATCCCTCGTTAGAGTTCATTTCCTTTCTGGTGCCTGGTTATTTTCTCTCTGAGGTTTTCTGCTGTTTGTTTATTTGTCCATGTCCTCCCCACCCTGAGCTGTTCCTTCACGTCTGTTTTCTCTCTGGAGCCAGCAAGGCAGCCCGGAGGCGTTCAGCCACACCACCACGTGCAGTCATGGGATGGCCCTTGTGAACTGCCGCCACGACGGCCAGCCCTGCTCAGGGCAGCTGCGGCTCGGGGTCAGCACGGCCAGACCCCAGGCTGCCAGCGGGTACCGGGCACGCTTGGCTGAGACGACCCTGGGGAGATGTCAGGGTGGCCACCTGCATCCCTGCGTTGCTTTTGATGCTTTGCATCATTTTATCAGCTCCAGGCACTGATTGAAAATAACAGTAATTTCTTTTTCTTTGTGTTGCTCCTCCTGCTTCGGGTGAGACACTGTGGGAGCGCTTCCCACACTGCTTCCCCTTCTTGGTCTCAGGAGCTTGGGTCCAGAATGTGCCGATGCCTCGGCATGAGCCACGAGGTCCCACCACCACCTCTGCCCTGGAAACCTGCTGCTTTCCAGTCCAGGAGCGCCTTACATTTTCTTCTGGTTGGGCAGCTAATTTCTGAGCAAGGCGCTGAATTTTCCATGCCTGGCTTCACTCTGTTTTCTAATTTGTAGATTTTTCCAGGCTTTTTTTCTCAATCATTGTATCTGCCCAGAGAAGTCTCTCTTGGCTGTCAAACAGTTAAACCCTGAGCCCGCAGTGAAGGGGGGTCATTCTTGGAGTGTGATGGATTGCATTTTTATCTCTGTTTCTACAGCCAATGTAAACGGGCTGGTGAAACCTTTCCACTCAAGATGTGAGATGGTGTTTCCTTAAATCTGAATCCGGCGGGACCAAGATCCAGCACATCTGAAACAGGGCTCTTTGGAGCAGGAACGCTGCTATATGAGAAACGTGTTACGCAGGCGCTGGGCTGTTTTACATGCCGTTCCCTGCTCCTTTGGAGCCGAGACATGGAATCACTCATCGGCTGTGTCACGGCATGCCGCTGCCGAAGCCCCCACGGTGTGAACATTGGCAAGGGGAAGTGGACAAATCCTGCCATTAATATTTAAACCCAGCACAAATCCCGTTATTTGCTCTTAAATGTTTATCCAGCTCCCCAGCGTAATTGGGCAGCCCGTTATCTGCTGGGTTGCATTGCGTGTGTGGGAATCTGCTATTACAACCCTCTCTCTGAATCTTTTATAGGAGAGCAAAATACATTTACAAGCAAATTTAGGTTTTATTTGGAGGCGCGGGAGGCGTGTTACTAATTTGGCTGCGGCCCGAACCCCAACGTGCGAAGTGCTCAATGTGTTGCGTGGGAGGAGGAGGTTTTATTTAGCTGCACGCTGCTTTCCTTGCCGCTTGGGCTTTCTGTTGCTAACGCTATGTGTGAGCAGCGAGTGCTGAGGGTAGCCCTGGGAACCCCAGAAAAATGCAGCCGATCTTTGCGTCTTGCTAACTGCTCCACCTTTATCTGTCACCGCGGCCTCGGTGAGGGACCAAGGGTGGGCTGAGCTTAGGTGGGGTGGGTCACCCCAGGCAGCCGTACCCTCCTGGTCCCTATAGATGCAGCCAGGTGACCCTATAGAAGCAGCTGAGATGATCCAGCTGGTCTGGATAGCCGCAGCTGGGAGCGGCGGCGGGTGGGATGGTGGGGAGGATATTAAGGGTGTGAGCGTCTGGGATACCTCGGTGATGGGGCCGGATAAGCGCTCGTGGTAGACAGATTAGTCATCGGTTCCTGATAGGGGATAATCGCTGGCTTGTCTGCGATTGTGAGATAAGGACAGCGTTGGGGGAGGGAAGGAAAGGGCACGGAAAAGCCAAGATGGCCAGGATGGACTGCCCCTGGCATGGTGGTCTCACGTGGCTCACGGCAGGACACTTGCCCGCCGGTGGCACGGAGCGGGACCAGGGCACGCGCGGGGCTGCGGGCGAACGCCCTTGTGCTCGTCCAGGGGCTGTGATGCTGTGATTTGCTTGCCGCTGCTTCAGCTCCTGTCCCAGTTACGTGGTTCTGTCAACTATAAATGATTCTGCAGAGGGAGCAGCATCCTCCGCTCCCTTCAGCACGGCGCAG